CTCCTTTTGTTATGTTGGTCTTATTCCCTTTATTAGCTGTGTTGTTGTATAAAATAGTTTCATTCATTATTTGTTATCAAGTTGAGTTTTGGTTGTTCAGATTGACTGTCAGGAAGTGTTGTTTGTCCTAAATCCTGGATTGGGTTACAAACACAAAAACATGAGTTGGCAAATGCATGAGAATCAATTTAATCTAAACGCACCCAAAAGACAGTATGGAGGCTAATGGTTCCTCTACATAACAGTGGTATACACAGTATAGAGCCATAAATGAGATACACAAGAAAAGACCAAATCTTGATGAGCTAGTTAATGAGAACCAATGTTTGAAAAAGTTTTTTGAAAACTCGCTTCAAACTTTTGAAGGGCAAACACTTCAAAACTCAAGAGTGAAGAGTGAAGCTATTTATCCCTTATAGCTTATGCATCATCGCTTAAAGCATAACTAAGTGTGCGTTTCATGCTTCATAAAGCGCTTCTCTTTTGAAGCGCACACTTCAGACAAGTTAGGAAGATATAAAAGTATTTTTTTTCTTGAATAAAGTGCCTTTTGTATCATCAATATGATCATATGAGCATAAATAAGATATATATGTTAGGCATGAAGCTTAGACTATTACATACTTAGTTCTTATTTATAGAATTATAGGATATGAGTGTATCTAAGTGTAAACTATTATACTACTATATATGTTCATAATTTTTACAGATTTTAAAGTTAAAATGCTTAAACTCATGAGGCTTACGCCTCACACTTTGAATTTTAGGCATCATTTCATTAAAGGGTATAACGCTTCGATTTGCGCTTCTGCTTTTTTAAACATTGATGAGAACCATGGTCCATGGCATATATATTATAGAGACAGAAATGAGAAATGTAAGGACCTGATCTTCACGAACCATGGAGTTGTTTACATAATTTAATTAGTTATAATGCCCCATTTCCTATTGCAGATCTAACCATTATGTTGCAATCTGACCCTTCTGATTTGATTAGAGCCAATCTGCTTCTATTCGGTCATCTTTGACAGACCGAATTCTTTCTTGTTTCAAATTCAATACAAAGACATGGTTTTCGGTCCACCATGAGTGTGAGGGGATGTTAAAGATATGACTGTCATTATAGCTGTATTCCATTGTAATTTTCTTACTATGTCGTCCATATGTAATTTACTAATCCTATACTATGATGCACGGATACGGATACGGGACACGGATACGACACGAGATATGGAAAAATCTAAAAAAATAGGATACGGGGATACGGCAAGGAAATTTTTTTAAATTATTATTATATGTAGAAAAATTTATAAACTAGGAATGGAGGGTGGACTTGAGGAGTCGGATGAAGGAGTCGGTCGACGGGATCGGGTTGGAACAGCGGAGGTGATCAAATCGAAAGGGAGTGAGCTGAGAGATTGAGAGAGAGGATTATGGTTAGGGTTAGGGTTTTTTCTTTTTTTCTTTCGTTTGAGTCAGCTGAGGATCGAATCGAATGGGAGATTTGAGAAATAGGGATGGGTTTTTTAATCGAATGGTTCGGGTTGGATTTTAACAACCAAACCCGCAACCCGCAACCCGCAACCCGAATGAATCGGCCTTCGGCGAATCCGAGCCGTGTCTGAGCTCCTTTGATCGTGTCTGAGCCTAATTTGACCTTTGACCCGTGTCGGACACGGATTGACGGTGTTTTACATGTGTCGTGCACGTGCCATGACGAATCCGTGTCCGATTCGAGCCGGACACGGATTCGTGGCCTCCCCGTGGCCTCCGGGGGCGAATCCGTGCTTCAGAGATCCTATATATACGATAGTACTCTTGATATTAAACATATGAATAAAGAGTGCTTCTTCTATTTCTAACAAGCTTACTTAGTGTTGTTTATCGACGTGGAAGACTAAGATCAAGGGGAGAGCCAAAAAAAGATAGTGATAATCTATCCATTTGATTGCTGCTACATGGGAAGATTAGTCCATCAATGTGCAGAGAACTGGTTTATTCCAGAGAAGAATTAGAAGGCTCAATTCAGCGGGAAGTCTTGGTTGATTTTGTGAGGGCACACTAAAGAGAGATTACAACAAACAGACACAAAGGTAATTTGGTGAAAGCCCTCGGGGCTGCTGCAATTGGCTTAGGTTTTTGATGTGTGATGGCTGCAATGCTGTTAGTGGTTTCTGCTTCATGTTCTTGATAACGAATTTAGCCTTTAACAAAAAATGAAAGAGCTGAACCAGTTCCTGAAATGGCGGTCAGGTTCTTATGACGAATTTCACCTTTAACAAAAAATGAAAGAGTTGAACTGTTCCTGAATTGGAGGTCAGTCTCACTAACTCATAAAGTTGTGGCCCAGTTATTAGTCAGAGCACTATGAAGCCGCATAAGAAATAAAGGAGCTACTTATTGAAATTTACGAGATGCAGAGCAAGATAGAAAATAGAACCTAATATGCAATAAAAATCACACATTGATGTAATGCAACACATTAGATGCAACCTTGGCAGCCTACATACCAATGATTTGATCATGATAAATGTGGCTCAACATAGAGGATATTTTACTATTCGCAGAAGTCCAAGTTTTGACCCGTAATTGAAGAACGATTTGACTGAGATCTATAAGAAGATCACAGAGTTTAGTTTGAGTTAACTACTACTTGATTTGAGATTAGTTTAGTTTATTTGATTCAAATGTTTTAATTCCCTTTGTATTAGGACTCTTTATGAGTAAATGAAAAACATTAGTAAACTTTCAGATGATTCAATGAGATTGGTTGATATTTTTGATTATTTTAAGGTTAGGATTTTATGTTATTTGCTTCCAGTAGTGTGAGACCACGAAACCCTAATCTCAATTCCTTTCTTCTTCGCCATCTCCTGTCTCTCTTGTTCCTTTTCTGTGTCTTCATCTTCTTTTCCCTCTGTTCCTCTTTTTGTTTTCCTGCAGCCGAGCCACCAGATCCCCCTATTATTCCTCCCCTCTTCCAGTTTTCCTGTGACTGACAACACCTTTAAATCCTTTTTTCTTCTTTACTCTGCATCTAGACAGCCAGACAACCAGCTATACCTCTTTCTTCTCTCTGTTTTTTCCTCAAACAGCCTCTAAACCCCCCTGAAGCCAAACAGGAGCATCTGCTCCTTTTGCGTGTCTCAAGCTCACCACTGCAGCTCCTATTTGTTTTGTTTCTTCTTCCCTGTTGTTTCCCATTCCCCATCAGATGTACACGGACTTACGTGTGTATTTCATGCCTGGTCGCAGATAGCTTGTTTACATATTGGGCTGAAAATATCATGTAATCTTCCATGCTTTGTCATGCAAGCATGCAAGCTTAAAAATACAGCTTCGAGTTTCACTTGCGAGCTTAGCCTGCATAATAACTGCGTATAAAGTAGTGGGACCTTTTCAATATATCACCTATGGAAACAACTTTAAATTGTTAACTCTTGTTTGGCCATGTGATATTGTGCATGAATGACAAGATACAAGGATAAAAGTAGTGGTTCTCTTTTTTACATAGTTAACCAACATTTTTTAATTTCTTGTCTAGATTTGGACGATTGTTTTTTTGATAGCCTTTAGTGTCGTGATACTATGTTTGTGTCTGTAAAATATTTTCATGAGTGTAACTGTGAAATAGAGCACATAGATCTACCATCTATTGGCCATCATACTACGATGGCATAATGTCTTTGTGTTACCCATAATTATCCTGATCAGGTTCTTGCACAAAGTAAAGTGTTTGAAGTCTAGTTGACATAATTATTTTTGGAATTCTTCTTGACTTCAAATCATGCTCCGATGCTGTCCCCATTGTGGTGAAAAGCTTAAGATGACAATAATGATATACAATATTCTTGTTACAGAAAGAATAGAATTGTGAAGTTTCTATTTGTTGATTCTTCAGAGGTTTTTAAAGAACACCATCCTGACTTTGATCCAGACAGATGAAGTAGGAAAAGCAAGCTTGATAGTATGTAAATTGAGAAAAATTTTGCAAGTAAATCACTGATGCTCACATGTTTCCTTCTTCATTAATTTTCTTTTTAAGAGTCATATGTAAGCAACATCTTTACCTAGAAATTTCTGGCCTTGTATTGTGGAGTTCATTTATGTATTCAAGGTATTCAAAGCATTTTCTGACATGGTTCTCTTTGCCATATTTAGAAATAGAATTAGAAGCTATGCAAACCATATGATATCCTGCACCCAC